GTGCGCACCCTCCCCCTAGATCCACCCCTGATGGGTGACGAATTACGTTAGCAATCGAGGATTTTTGACTTGTTTATCCTGGATCGTATCGATCGATCGTAAACTCCACTCTCTCAAGCGTTTAGAGCTAAAATTTGGCTTAAGTTTTCAGAATTTTTCCACAACATACCTCTAAGAATCCTTCTTGATGTGCTCTTTCGTGTGTTGAGGTTTCTTAAAGCGTCTTTTTATGCCCCGACATCTTCATTCATGACGTTTTAAAACTTCCTCGCCATCTTGAAACGGAGACGTACGGCAGGTTGCCATGGCAATTTGGTAATTTCACATGTGAAATTACAAATTAACGCTGAAATTTCGCGCCAAAATTAAGGAGTAATTCGTCACCTATGATATTATAGCTATAAATGAGTGTAATTTTCTAACATAATCTGTAAACGGGTTTATAGCTTTTTCATAACAACTAGTTGCCCAAGGCTGTGGTTTAACAAAAATCACCGTTTTTTCCACTCAATAAGCTTAATATTTACAATATTAAATTTTTGGTGATCATTTAAAGAAAGTCCTCAAAACAGGTGTTCGAACAAAGTGTCGACCAATGTGTTTTCCGTGAAAGGGGTATAGAACAATTACATCCCGGGTTTCTTTGAATGAATTGCTAAACAAAAAAAGAGACAGAAGAAATGAAATCAATATTTTTTTACGCGTTGAAAGTAAAGAATCATTTTGCAGATGTTTTGTACATTCATTGTAGACAAAGTTATTTAATTATAAATGCGTGCAAAAAAACGGGGTAATTATAAGTACCAGCTGAGTCCTTACTGAGCAGGGCTGGGCTAATCGAAACCGATTTAGATTCCCTTGGGGATACACGACCAAGAAAGCATTCGGAAGCCTGCGCTGCCATGATTTTACTGATTTTGAAAGGAAAATCTTTGCTTAGGATATAGTGATGTTCTGATACAAAAGGTATTGGTTTTACCTTGTCAATTATAAGATAGAGGTTAATACAAAAAAACCCTTAAGTGAAATATCAGAAATTAAATAAATAAAAAAATCAGTTTCTCTAATCGGCTGGCGTCTGTTTTGTCTCGTCCCTATAACTACTGACAATTTGAATAGCACCTGCAGGGCTCCAAATTAAAGTTATAAAGAATTGATTGCGGCTCAAAGAGGTTTGTAAAACATTCAAGTGTTTCTTTTTATCACTTATAACCACATGACAACGCACGTATTACCCACGTAATGTATAGCTAATTCAATGAAGGTTGCTTTGGGCATTGTGAATTGCGCAAACTCCTGACCTTCAATGAATTCAGATATATTAAAGCTACACTTGCAAACGGACCCAACAACTCACGACATTGTTGGCCCGAAAATGTTGGGGGTTGTTGGATAGTCGGTTGGCGGCATTAGTTTGCAAACGGATGCAATAACTTCCATTATTATACATTCAAAATAAATAAATCAGCCGCGAGTTTGGGTTATGTACTGCCTTTATGCTGGGTTAAGATCGTA